AGAGAACCAAATGAAAAGAGAACCAAATGAAAAGAGAACCAAATGAAAAGAGAACCAAATGAAAAGAGAACCAAATGAAAAGAGAACCAAATGAAAAAGAACCAAATGAAAAAGAACTGAATGGAAAAAGAACCAAATAAAAAAAAGAACCAAATAAAAAAAGAACCAAGTGAAAAAGAACCAAGTGAAAAAAATAACCAAATAAAAAAAAGAACCAAATGAAAAAGAACCAAATAAAAGAACCAAACTAAAAAGAACCAAATAAAAAAAGAACCAAATGAAAAAGAACCAAATGAAAAAGAACCAAATGAAAGAAACCCACTAAAAAGAACCAAATAGAAGAACCAAATAAAAGAACCAAACTAAAAAGAACCAAACGGAAAAGACCCGAGCCCAGCGCCGCAGCCTCTTCCGGACCCAGGGATGGGGATGAGCTCCCCCAGCCCTGCATGGGCACCCAAAAAGTGCCCAAAAACCCCAAACTCGGCGGGATGGAAGGACCCCCAGAGTGGGCTGGGATTCCCCTGGACATTCCTGGTGGAAGGAGCACCTGGAGCTGCTAAAGGCACTGGAGAAGGAGCCCAGCCTGGAAAAGGGAAGATGCAGGAGGACCTTGGAGCATCTTCCAGCAGCCAAAGAGGCTCTGAGGGCTGCAAAGGATTCGGGACAAGGACACGGAGTGGCACGAGAAGTGGGAATGGTTTGAGGCTGGGAAAGGGGAGATTTACGTGGGATATTGGGAAGCAATTCCTGCAGAGAAATGTGGGTGCATCCCAAGACATGCCATCCCAGCCACGGCACAAAAACACAGAATTTCCCTAAAAAACCTGAGAAGAACCTAAAACACCAACAAAATCCACAAGAAACACAATGCCAGCCAGCCGTGGAGCAGAATTCCGAGATCCCTGTGGAGCCCAAACCCACGGATTCCACCAGGAACAACCATGGACCAAGGAGCTGCTGCAGATGGAAGAGCCAAGCGTGGAAAGATGCTTTATCTCCACAGAGCTGGGAAATAACCAGGGAAAAGCTGAAGGGACCGAAGGGACCCGGGAAATTCCTCTGCCAAGGAACCCTGACCCTGCTGGGAGGTGACACTGCAGGGGAAGGAGCTCCCAGGGACACCTGAGAGGGATCGGTGCTGCCAGGCAGGTATCCCTGGCACTGCCACGGAGCCTGGCACGGGCACTGGCACTGCCATGGAGCATGGCATGGGCACTGGCACTGCCATGGAGCATGGCACGGGCACTGGCACTGCCATGGAGCATGGCACGGGCACTGGCACTGCCACGGAGCCCTGGCACTGCCACGGAGCATGGCATGGGCACTGGCACTGCCACAGAGCCCTGGCACTGCCATGGAGCATGGCACGGGCACTGGCACTGCCATGGAGCCTGGCACGGGCACTGGCACTGCCATGGAGCATGGCATGGGCACTGGCACTGCCACAGAGCCTGGCATGGGCACTGGCACTGCCACGGAGCCCCTGGGTGGATCCCAGCAGCTCCAAGACCTCGGAGGTGCCAAATTCCAGCCCAGCCCTGGATCCCAGCAGTGGATTCTCCATTTCTCCCCAGCAGCATCGTGCATGCCCCAAACGCTGGCACGTGCCAGGGTCTCCCTTGGTGGGCACCCCCAATCCTTAAAATCCCTGAAATTCCCGAAAAAACCGTGGCTGATGGGCCCCAACCCCCACCCGGGAGCAGCGAGGAACAGGAGTCAAATCCTCCCACACTCCTGCCAGGAGGAGGCTGCTCCCATTCCCGTGCTCCCCCTTCCTCCTCCTCCTCCTCCTCCTCCTCCCACCCAGCAGCGGCCGAGGAAGCTCCAAAAAAAAAAAAAAATTAAATGGATGTTAAAATAAAATTAAAAAAAAAAAAAATGAAAATCGCTCTGGAAAAGCCAATGGATCCCAGATTCCCAAATCTCCTCCTCCTCTGTTCCCGGCAATCCACCCCCTCCCCCCGCCATCACAGATCCCTTTTCCAGGCTCCGAGGGGAGGGGAAAGCGCCCAAAACGCCTCAATTTTGGGAATCTGGGCAAGGATTCTCCTCGGGAGCAGGAATCCTCATCCCTGGGAGGAGAAATCCTCTGGGATCTCCTCGGGGGAGAGGATCCAGCTTCCCAAATGCGGGTGAGGAAGGGTCCGTGCCCACCCACCTGAGCTCTGCTGCCCAAAATCCCTGAGCGCTGCCCCCCAAAATCCCTGAGCGATGCTCCCCAAAACCCCGCAGCTCTGCCCCCAAATCTGAGCTTTGCCCCCAAAAATCTGAGCTCTGCTCCCCAAAATCCCTGAGCGCTGCCCCCCAAAATCCCTGAGCTCTTCTCCCCAAAAATCACTGTGCTCTGCTTCCCCAAATCTGAGCTCTGCTGACCAAAATTCCTCAGCTCTGCTGACCAAAATCCCTGAGCTTTGCCCCCCCAAATCTGAGCGCTGACCCCAAATATCCCTGTGCTCTGCTTCCCCAGATCTGAGCTCTGCTCCCCAAATTCCTGAGTTCTGCCCCCCCAAATCCATCTGCTTTGTGCCCCCAAAACCTCTCGGGCTCTGCTCCCGAAAATCTGAGCTCTGCCCCTCCCCAAAATCCCCGAGCTCTGCCCCCACCAACTCGTCAGGCTGCACCCCAAATCTGAGCTCTGCTCCCACAAATCCCTGAGCTCTGCCACCCCAAAATCCCTGGGCTCCACATTCCCAAATCCCCGAGCTCTGCTCCCCAAATCCCTGAGCTCCACACTCCCAAATCCCCGAGCTCTGCTCCCCCAAAATCCGAGCTCTTTCCCCCCCCAGATCTGTCTGCTTTGTGCCCCCAATCCTTGCGGCTCTGCTCCCCAAAATCCCTGAGCTCTGTTCCCCAAATCTGAACTCTGTTCCCCAAAATCCCCCAGCTCCGCACTCCCAAATCACTGAGATCTGCTCCCCAAAACTCGAGCTCTGCTCCCCAAATCCCTGAGCTGTGCCCCCCCAAATCTGAGCTCTGCTCCCCGAAATCCCTGAGCTCTGCTCCCCAAAATCCCTGGGCTCTGCTCCCCAAATCTCTGATCCCTGCTCCCCAGATTCCCGAGCTCTGCTCCCCAAAATCCCTGGGCTCTGCTCCCCAAAATCTCTGAGCTCTGCTCCCCAAAATCCCGAGCTCTGCTCCCGCCGCCGCGCCCCGCCCCTCCCCCGGGGGATTCCCCAAACCGCCGGGGCTGACCCCCAAAATCCCTGAGCGATGCTCCCCAAAATCTCTTATCTGTGCCCCCTCAAATCTGAGCTCTGCTGCCCAAAATGTGAGCTCTGCTCCCCAAAATCCCTGAGTTGTGCCCCCCCAGATCTGAGCTCTGCTGCCCAAAATCCCTGAGCGCTGCCCCCCAAAATCCCTGAGCGATGCTCCCCAAAACCCCGCAGCTCTGCCCCCAAATCTGAGCTTTGCCCCCAAAAATCTGAGCTCTGCTCCCCAAAATCCCTGAGCGCTGCCCCCCAAAATCCCTGAGCTCTTCTCCCCAAAAATCACTGTGCTCTGCTTCCCCAGATCTGAGCTCTGCTCCCCAAATTCCTGAGTTCTGCCCCCCCAAATCCATCTGCTTTGTGCCCCCAAAACCTCTCGGGCTCTGCTCCCGAAAATCTGAGCTCTGCCCCTCCCCAAAATCCCCGAGCTCTGCCCCCACCAACTCGTCAGGCTGCACCCCAAATCTGAGCTCTGCTCCCACAAATCCCTGAGCTCTGCCACCCCAAAATCCCTGGGCTCCACATTCCCAAATCCCCGAGCTCTGCTCCCCAAATCCCTGAGCTCCACACTCCCAAATCCCCGAGCTCTGCTCCCCCAAAATCCGAGCTCTTTCCCCCCCCAGATCTGTCTGCTTTGTGCCCCCAATCCTTGCGGCTCTGCTCCCCAAAATCCCTGAGCTCTGTTCCCCAAATCTGAACTCTGTTCCCCAAAATCCCCCAGCTCCGCACTCCCAAATCACTGAGATCTGCTCCCCAAAACTCGAGCTCTGCTCCCCAAATCCCTGAGCTGTGCCCCCCCAAATCTGAGCTCTGCTCCCCGAAATCCCTGAGCTCTGCTCCCCAAAATCCCTGGGCTCTGCTCCCCAAATCTCTGATCCCTGCTCCCCAGATTCCCGAGCTCTGCTCCCCAAAATCCCTGGGCTCTGCTCCCCAAAATCTCTGAGCTCTGCTCCCCAAAATCCCGAGCTCTGCTCCCCGAAATTCCCGAGCTCTGCCCCCACAAATCCCTGATCTCTGCTCCCCAAATCTCTGATCTCTGCTCCCCAAATCCCTGAGCTCTGCTCCCCAAATCTCTGAGCTCTGCTCCCCAGAATCCCTGATCTCTGCTCCCCAAATCTCTGATCTCTGCTCCCCAGAATCCCTGAGCTCTGCTCCCCCAGGCCGGAGCTCCGCCGCCGCCCACCCCCTCGGGCTGTGCCCCCCAAGCCGAGCCCCGCGCCCCCAGAGCTCAGCCCAGACCGCCCGCAGCCCCTCGGGCACTGCCTGCTGCCCGCAGCCCCCCAGATCGCCCCGTCTCCCGGCGTTTCGCGGTGGGTTCCCGGCGGTTCCCGGCGGATCCCGGCGGGTCCCGGGGTGTCCCGGGGGTCCCGGGCCGGGCGGGCGGAGCAGACGCGGCCGCCGCCGAGCGCAACCGGCACCACCACAAACAATGCCGCTGATTGGCCGCCGCCGCCGCCGCGCCCGCCCCGCCTCCCGACCCCAGTCGCGACGCCCATTGGTGCGGATTGCAGACTGGCGTGAGAGATCACCAATCGAATCGCTGCGATCCGTTCTTAGCCCGCCTCCCAGATTTTACTGGCTGGCTCAGCAAAGATTGACGTCTCGCTGCACCAATGGGAACGCGCCGTGCTTCCCCGCGGGGCGCCTTTAATGGGTCCCCGAGTCTGAACATCCGGGTACCGCGAGCGGCGCGCGGTGGCGGCGCGCGACTTCTCCCCCGGCGCGCGAGGGAATTTTGACCCCTCGCAGCCGCCGTACCCGCCCCGGGCCTAGTACCGGCCCGGTTCCGCTTCACGTGGCGCCGGTACGAGGCCGCGCGTGGCTCTGGGGGGAGCTCCCGTCTCCGGTACGCCGGGCAGAACCCCCCATATGCCCGACGAGGCGGCAGCGCGCGGGGTTCGGCGCCCGCGAGGCCTCATGGCCCGTGCCAGGATCCAAGATGGCGGCCTGAGGGCAGCCCCGGGCCGTGCCAGGATCCAAGATGGCGGCCCCGGCCTCACCTCCCCTCACGGCCGCTCCCGGGGGGTTCCGCACCCTCAGAAACCCCCCCAGATAAAACAAACCCTCCTGGAGGCAGCGAGGAAAATACCGCAGCAGCTTTTATTTACAGGCCCCTGGGGCGGGGGCTGCTATTGCACAGTGCGAGGGGAGGGGGCGGCCCCGAACCCCCCCCATGGCCACTAAACCCCCCTCAATGGCCACCAAACCCCCCCGGGGGGCTGGAGATGGGAGGGGGCACAAACCCAGAGCCCCCCCAGCTGCCCTGAGGGGGGACAAGACCCCCAAACCCCCCCCCCGGGGCAGAAATGAGGAGGGGGAGCCCCCAGAGCCGGCCCTGCCCATCCCACCCGCGCTCTCACTCTGTGGGGGGGTGAATAAATAAATAAAAATATATTAACACTGACATATAAAACCCGTCGTGAGCCTGGGGGTGCCGGCGGTCCCTTTTGCCTCCTGGAGTATTTGAGGGGGGTCCTTTCCCCACCCTGGGGCATTTGAGGGGGGTCCTGGGGGTCCCTTCTGCCTCCTGAAGCCTTTGAGGGGGGTCCTGGGGGTCCTTTTCCCACCCTGGAGTATTTGAGGGGGGTCCTGGGGGTCCCTTCTGCCTTCTGGAGTATTTGAGGGGGGTCCTGGGTCCCCCCGGTGTCCCCGTGTCCCCACCGATGTCCGTGTGCTCCCGGCCCAGCGCTGCCAGCGTCAGGAACAGCAGCTCTCGGTAGATGCTCCTGCAGGAGGAGCCACGGGGCGATTTCGGGGGGATTCTGGGGGGATTTCGGGGTACACCGGGGGGGTCTGCCCGTACCTGTGCAGGGTGCGGGGGGCTCCGGGGGCCGCCAGGGTCTCCAGGAAGAGCCCGATGGCTTTGTGCACCTCGTTGAGCCCCACGTGGCTCAGCAGCGCCTCCAGGAAGGTCAGCGAGAACGGGGGGGCCGGGGGGCCCCAGGGCTGCAGCCGCGGGGGGATGTTACCTGGGGACCCCAAGGTGTGAGCCCACAGTGACCCCAGTGTCCCCAAACCCCAGGGGTGTCACCTGGGGGACCCCAAGGTGTGAGCCCACAGTGACCCCAGTGTCCCCAGTGTCCCCAAACCCACAGGGATGTTACTTGGGGGACCCCAAAGTGTGAGCCCACAGTGACCCCAGTGTCCCCACAGTGACCCCAGTGTCCCCAAACCCCAGGGGTCTCACCTGGGGGACCCCAGCGTGTGCCCTTGGTGTCACCAATCCCACTCTTTGCCCCTGCCCATTCCCACATCTCCCACACCCCCAATCCCATATCCCCACATCTCCCAATCCCATAATCCCCAAATCCCACATCTCCATCCCCCCATTCCCATATCCCCAAATCCCCCCCCCCACGGACATGAGGGACATGAGGGGGCACGGGGACACGGGGGACATTTGGGGACACGGGGACACGGGGGGACAGAGATGGGACACGCGTGTCCCTGCGTCCCCCCAGGTGTCCCCCCGGTGTCCCCGTGTCCCCACCGATGTCCGTGTGCTCCCGGCCCAGCGCTGCCAGCGTCAGGAACAGCAGCTCTCGGTAGATGCTCCTGCAGGAGGAGCCACGGGGCGATTTCGGGGGGACTCTGGGGGGATTTCGGGGTACACCGGGGGGGTCTGCCCGTACCTGTGCAGGGTGCGGGGGGCTCCGGGGGCCGCCAGGGTCTCCAGGAAGAGCCCGATGGCTTTGTGCACCTCGTTGAGCCCCACGTGGCTCAGCAGCGCCTCCAGGAAGGTCAGCGAGAACGGGGGGGCCGGGGGGCCCCAGGGCTGCAGCCGCGGGGGGATGTTACCTGGGGACCCCAAGGTGTGAGCCCACAGTGACCCCAGTGTCCCCAAACCCCAGGGGTGTCACCTGGGGGACCCCAAGGTGTGAGCCCACAGTGACCCCAGTGTCCCCACAGTGACCCCAGTGTCCCCAAACCCCAGGGGTCTCACCTGGGGGACCCCAGCGTGTGCCCTTGGTGTCACCAATCCCACTCTTTGCCCCTGCCCATTCCCACATCTCCCACACCCCCAATCCCATATCCCCACATCTCCCAATCCCATAATCCCCAAATCCCACATCTCCATCCCCCCATTCCCATATCCCCAAATCCCCCCCCCCACATCCCA